CCAAGTGGCAGCATCGATGGACTCAAGCGTGGCAACAGTAGTGAGGTTGGCCCAGGATCTGGCAGTGTTTCGTTCTGCTGTGCATAAGGTCGCTATGGGTTGGTACTGACTCGATGGCACCTAACAACAACAACAACATGTAGGAAGAGAGAGTTACAGGATGCAGGAGACATGTTTGTGAATGTTTAGTTTTGACTTTGGATCATGTAATTGCTTTAAGTTAAATAGAAAACTGAAACAAGTGAACCTAGCTTTATAGCAAGTTGATGGCATAACCATTTGAAGAATTACAAAGATCTTCAATGCATTGTAATAGTTTTATTGTTAAGAGAAAATTGGTACTATTATTTTGATTCTATTGTAGGATAAAGCAAATGAATAATGTTAGAAACCAAGATTTTTCAGTGTAAGAATAAAGAGATAGGCTATCAAATACAATATGAACTCATGGTTTCTTTTCATAAAAACATTTGTATTTCCTAGTTCTGTCCACCAAAAAATCCTAGAAGTGGTGATGACCCAGTAGCATTGAATGCCCCTAGTTTATAGATTGTTATCTCTAAAGAGCATTCTTCACTAAAAGGAAGCAGTTCCTTGGAGAATGAGTCCAGGTCAGAATACAAGATGTACTGTTCTCTAGAACCTTGCTACAGAAATTGTGGGCCTAAAATTGGTATCACCTGTAAGCCAGTGCAACGTCTCAGACCCTACCAGACTTACTCAATCAAAACTATTTTACCACACTCCTCAGGTGGTTTGTACATTAATACTAATGTTTGGGGAACATTTCTGTAAAAAACAAAGTGTGGCAAAGATTATGTTTTACATTTCACTGGGGTATATAATCCCAAAGCAGTGGAAATGAATGAAAGCAAATATAAGGTGGGGAGCACAAGCTGAGCTGATTACAGCCTTCACAAAATACAGCCAGGTTGCTTGGTCTTACAGAATGTCTCCAGAGAGGCTGTATTTCTGTGCCCTCGAAAGATGTAGTGGATGGAGGAAGGGTAAGAAATTTTTGTGCAGTCAGAGACTCTGGGTCAGCTGAATCCGAGTATGGGAGCTCCTCTGCTTCCCGCTGCAACGGACATGGTGGAGGCCATCCTTCAGTGCAGCCCTCTCCTCTGGAGTTTCAGAGAGAAACTAGAGGGGTCTGTATACATAGTGGTGTTAGGAGATACGGTGGTGCGTTGTCTCCATTGAAGATCTGGGAGTAGGAAGGGGTTGGTGAATCTCAGGAGGCATATAACTAAGTCCAGTTCAATCTCAAGATCACTAAATGGAGTTTTTTGATGTAGATGTTGTTGTTAAGTGCATAGGGACCCTGTGTAACCAGACATTATGTGCCTCCTGTTGCAATAGGAACTATATGATACTTTCTATGAAGAACATGCCTTAAAGACACCAAAAACTTGACTCTAATCAATCTTCTGGATGAACAGACCTTAAATTTGAGTGCACAGTCAAATACTGGGTATTGTATGATATTAAGGGGTCATTTTTAATTCTGTGAAATAAAATGGCAGTGGTGATTTTGATTTTGAAAATACCTTCATCAGTTAGAGATGAAAACTGTAGGATGGAAAATGGCATATCTGAGTTTTGCTTCAAAATACTCTGGCATTAACAATAAATAAATAAATAAAAAGTAGGGAGTAGATTACAAGATTGGCCATGAGTTAATAATTATTTAAGCTCAGTGATGGGTGTATAGAGGTTTATTTGTAACTTTTCTCTATTTTTGTGTGTATTGGAAATTTTTCATTTAAAAGATTATACCAGAAAGAGACAAAATTTCCCAATTGCCAAAAATAAGAAGAGCACTGGTTTTTGGATACTAGAGATAAGTAGGTGTGCCCTCAGTCTTAAAGACATTTCTAAAATGAGTTGTTTAAAGGACATTGTATAAGCATTGAGATAAGAGGGTGGCTATTAGAGTCAAAATGAGCTTGCTAAGAACAAATTGTTTCAAGGTAATCATACTTCCTTGCTGAGTAGAATTTTTAGACACATCAAAATAATAAATACAAACATGACTTTCACAAACTATCTGTGAATCATGTCTTAGGTTGGATGATGATAATGAGAGCTGTAATTGGTGTTAAGAGCTGTGAATTTAAATGTTGTTGTTGTTATTAAGTGCCCTCCAGTCGGTTCTGACCCATAGCGACCTAGTATAGGGTTTCTGAGGAGAGACTGGTGAGTTTGAACCACTGACATTGTGGTTCAAACTGACCTTGTAGTCGAGTGCTTGTTCTATAGCACATAAAGATCCTCTTGTTGTTGCAACTTCTGTCTCTGTACATGGGACACTTGTTGACCACTTGAGATTTTCTGTCCACTGCTGGTGTGGCTCTGTAGAATAAGTACTGGACTGCTAATCACAAGGTGCTCCTGGAAAACCCTATGTTGTTCTTGTTGTTAAGTGCCATCCAGTTGGTTCCAACTCATAGCAACCCTGTATAGAGTTATAATAACAGGGTCACTCTTAGAAAGACTCAAGGGCACTTAACAACAACAGCAACACTGTTTTGTTATGTAGATAATCTGGAGTAATGTCTGTGTTGAAATCCTTCAGCCCTCTAAGGATCAGGGTTATTAGCTGGTAGCATTCATGCTCATTTACATTTTTAGGTTATCACACAAATTATTTACCTACAGTGGCTCTGTAGCTTTCTTAAGATTGAATTTATACAGGTTGAAGAGGCTTATTAAGAAAAAAAAAAAGGATCTGTTGGTATAAAATCAGTTTCCATCTTCCTTTACAGTGGTCATGGACACTGCATTTTGAGTCATAATGTTTTTTGTTAAAATTTATGTAACTGTTTATAGGTAAAGATTGTGGGTTTTGTAATCAGATTTTTGAAAAGTATTAATGCTTAGTAATATACTAATATAAACTTTTTTTGGGTCATTTTCAGGGAATCTGGAAAAAATTGCAAAGTCTATACCTTCAGTAAGGATGGGACCTTGTTTGCCTGGGGCAACGGAGAAAAGTTAGTTTTATTTACATGATGTTATATTTTGTGTGTTTATATCATGAATATGAAATATTAACTTATTTGAATAGCATATATTTCAATATCATGAATAAAATTCATATTTTAATGTCTTGATGTAGTTAGGTATAATCTCTAGCATAGCATTCATAGAATATCTACAAAGTTCTTAGTTTCTGTTTATTGGTAAGTACCATCAAGTTGGTTCTGACTCAAAGCAACCGTGTATAGGGTTTCTGATGAGCGGCTGGTGAGTTTGAACCTCTGACTTTGCAGTTCAAAATCAACCTTAAGGTCAAGTGCTTATCCTGTAGCGCCACACCAGGACTCCTGTTACATGCAGTCAAGTTGGTTCCAACTCATAAACACCCTGTATAGGGGTTTAAATGCCATGATTTGAGTTATATAGTTACTTAGAATTTAAAATTACTGCATGACCAAAAAGGCAACTAATTTAATGTCTTTTCTTTTTCCTGAGAGATTGTGCTTGCAGTTATTGTTTAAGATTTCTTAAGTTTTACACTAATACTTAGAAAATTATTCTCTTTATATGTTTACCTTTTATTTAGATACTTTTTATCTTTATTGTTAAACTTAACTGTCTGAGGTTATTGCTGTTAGTTTTATTTATATCAAAGTATATCATGTAAGTATAAAATAATTCAAAATATTTAGCATAATTTATATAAAATATTAGAAAGTTGGTCTTACAAAACAATAAATATTTACATTAAATGCTAAAAAGTTCACTAAGATAGTTAATCCTTTTTAGCTTTTTAAGTATCCTTACATCTTTGATATCCCATGCTAATAAAGTTTCACTAAAGGTAATACAGAAATGGCTGCAAGCATACATTGACAGAGAACTTCCAGAGGTTCAAGCTGGATTCAAAAGAGACTGTGTAACGAGGGATATCATTGCTGATGTCTAATGGGTCTTGGCTGAAAGCAGAGACTACCAGAAAAATGTTTACCTGTGCTTTATTGACTAGGCAAAGACTTTCAATTGTGTGGATCATGACAAGCTATGGACAATGTTGAAAAGTATGAGTATTCCAAAACACTTAATTGTGCTCATGAGGAATCTGTACATGGACCAAGAAGCAGTTGTTTGAACAAAACATGGGAACACTGAATGTTTTAAAATTAAGAAAGGTGTGTGACAAGGTTGTATTCTTTCACCATACTTATTCAACCTGTATGCTGAGCAAATAATCCAACAAGCTGGATTCTATGAAGAAAAAAATGGCATCAGGATTGGAGGGAGACTCATTAACAGCCTGAGATTTGCAGATGATAGAACCTTGCTTGCTGAAACTGAAGAGGACTTAAAATTGTACTGATAAAGATCAAAGAGCACAGCCTTCAGTATGGATTGCATCTCAATGTCAAGAAAACAAAAATCCTCACCACTGGACCAATACACAACATTCTTATCAACAGAGAAAAGATTGAAGTTGTCAAGCACTTCATTCTTCTTTGATCAACTACCAACACTCATGGAAGCAGCAGTCAAGAAATCACATGACGTATTGCATTAGGCAAATCTGCTACATAAGACCTTTTAAAAGTGTTGAAGAGCAAAGATGTCAGCTTGAGGACTTAAGGTGCGCCTGACCCAAGCCATGGTATTTTCAGTAACCTCATATGCATGTGAAAGCTGGACAGTGAATAAGGAAGACCGTAGAAGAATTGATGCATTTGAGTTATGGTGTTGGAGGAGAATATTGAAAGTACCATGGGCTGCCAAAAGAATTAACAGATCTGTGTTGGAAGAAGTGCAGCCATAGTGCTTCTTGGAGGCCAGGATGGCCAAACTTCGTCTCTCATACTTTGGACATATTGTCAGGAGGGTCCAGTTGCTTGAGAAGGGTATCATCTTTGGTAAGGTGGAGGGTCAGAGAAAAGAGGAAGAGCCCTAGAGAGATGGATTGGCAAAGTGGCAGCAGCATTGGGCTCAAGCGTGGCAACAGTTGTGAGGTTGACCTAGGACCAGGCAGCTTTTCATTCTGTTGTGCACAGGGTAGCTGTGAGTCGGTACTTACTCAATAACACCTAACAACAACAGCAATAGCAGATCCATTCAGCTCTTCAGAAACCTCTCAGAACCAGGAAAATGTTCAGATATTTGTTGCTCAGTTTAAAATTACTTTTGATATTATTTTTAACCAGGTATAAATAAAATGGTTAGTTTCTTAAAAGGGGAAAATGTATATGGTTGTTTGACTTTTTAAATGACTTAAAATGTGTTCTACACAGTGGAAATGTATTCTGAAGTCTTTCATGTCAGTTTGGATTAAGCACATGATTATTTCAAAGTAGCTTTAAAACATTGTGTTCAGTTACTTGAGGCATGTTTTATAGCTATTAAGAATCTCAGTTTAGCTTTTTAATGAAAAAAATAAAATAACATTTTTTGTGTTCCTGAATCCAACCAGTTGTAAAGTACCATCGAGTCAGTTCATCTCATAGCAAACCTATATAGGGATTCCAAGGAATGAATGGCTGATGAGTTTGAACCACCAACCTCTGTTTGTCAGTACTGTACTTACCCTACAGTGCTACACCAGGACTCCTTAACAAGTTAACTACTGCTTTTTAATTGTTAAAATATTTTGAGTTTTATCCAAAATACTAGCCCCAAACCAAAAAAAAAAAAAAAATTCACTGTCATTGAGTTGATTGTGACTCATAGCAATCCTAGACATAGTTTCCGAGACTGTACATCATCTTTATGGGAACAGTTTTAACTTTCTCCTGGGGGAACTGCTGATGGCTTTGAATCTCTGACCTTGTGGTTAGCAGCCCAATGCTTAACCCACAGTTCCACCAGAGTTCAGCCTCAAGGTGAGCGTTTTTTATCTTTTGGTAAGTAGTTGAAGTGTTTTTGTTTGTTTTTAAGCCATATTTTAGTTCACGGTGTTTGAATAATGAGGAGTCCTGGTGTTGCACTATCGGATAAGCACTGGACTGAAAGATCGGCAGTACAAGTTCACCAGCTCCTCAGAAACCCTATACTGTCACTATGAGTCAGAACCAATTCACCAGCACTTAATAGCAACAAAACAAGGTTTGAATAATGAGTTCATAAAAATGTATTTTATCTCATGGGACATACTTTACTTCTTTTCATTATTATCTTTTCAAGTATCCCTTATATAAATAAAATTAGTTGAATAAGTCTATTTTCATTTTGTCAATTATTTTTGTTGTTAAGTGCCCTTGAGTTCGTTCTGATTCATAACAACGCCGCTGTATAGGGTTTCCAAGGAGTGACTAGTGGATTTGAACCACTGACCTTGCAATTAGCCATCCATTGCTTATTCTGCAGTGTAACACAGTTATATTCGAGGCAGCTTCAAAAAAAAAAAATAATGGAAAAATTCTAATATCTTTTAATTCCGTTTTTCCAAGATCTTTTTGAATCCTCCATATACTTCATTTATAGCCACAGTTAGCTTTGGATTTGGATTTGATGCTGAATCTTTTTAATGTGTTTCAATGTCATTTCCATCATTTTAGTAGATAGTCTCTCTATCTGCTTCTAGCATTCATTTCTCAAAGTGTGGTGACCACATTGGTACATATGGTTCAGGGGAACATGTGAATCAGGCATAGTATGGTGATTATAGTTTTTTTAATTAACTAAGTCAGAAACTATAATTGATTTTTCTCATTTAAAAAAAAATGTGTAGTTTTAAAATGCAAAGATATCTTTCATTAAACAGAATAACTATGAAAGGTTTTCAGCAACAACAAAAAACAATAAAACTGTATTTAATCCTAAAGTACTTAATTTACAGTAAGTTGTTTAGTATGTGAAGTATGTATGTATGTTTAACCAGTATGTAGCAGTTTTTCATTCTTAGCAGTTTGTCCTAACATTGCGCTTCTCAAATTTGAATGGAGCAAAGTTATTTAAGCAATTTATTGAATTAGATGGTGCCTTTTTGTTGTTGTTTATTTGTTTTTATAACTACAAAGCATTTAGTGTAATACATAAAGCTAAAGGCTAAATTGATGCATTTGAGTTATGGTGTTGAAGGAGAACATTAAAAGTACCATGGACTGCCAAAAGAACAAATAAAAGTATAGCCAGAGTGCTCCTTGGAAGTCCGAATGGCCAGACTTCGTCTCTCATACTTTGGACATATTATTAGGAGGGACCAGTCCCTGGAAAAGGATATCATGTTTGGTAAAGTAGAGGGTT